CTCAGTAGATGGTCTATGACATTAGTGAATATGAAACTGTAGTTAGTAAGAAATATTTATAGAACAAAATTTGAAAGTTAACATAAAGACTATTTGCAAAACTGTGAAAGTCTTAAAAGCAGGAAGCAGTATTGTATTACACAAAACTGAGAAAGCTCAAATTTGATGAAATTCACTCTAAATTCTAAGACATTATCAGGGTCAGAACAACCCATTTCCACTTTACCTCCAAGACATTAGAAAAACTAAAAGAAAAAAGAACTATCTTTTTCAACTGTAAAATTACTAAATTAAAATTGTAGAACTTATAAATAGTATTTGAGGACAAATAAAGTGCTTAAATTGTGAGTATTCACAGTGCTATAAATATTAGAAGACAGACATGCCAAATACTTCATAAAAGATTTTCAGGTTCATTTCATGTAGGGACCAATTATACCTTTTAAAGGTCTCTTGTAATGTTTTAGCTTCAAGCAATATGTTCATTCTTTCTGACAAAAGAACCTTTGCCTTTTAACAGCATTCTCTACTTTTTGCAACCAGTGCTGATCTTTATAGAGAAATTGCAATGAGATATATAGTGTGAAATCTAATTAGTTCTTTTAAATCTTGATAATGGGAACTTATTTTCTCAAAAAGCATATATGTTGCCAACATCTGAAAAGCTGAAGAGCCCTTTGTCATTAGAATATGCTTTTCACATGTAAGAAATTTTGATTTGGTAAAAAGTTGCAAACCTGGGGAAAATACCCAACAAAGGTATAATAAACATTAGTTTACCCTAAAATAATTCAACTACATATTTTAGAACAGAAATCAGTTTCTCAGACTTATGCATCTTCTTCTCAACCTACACTGATGACAATTATATTGCAGAATACTCTATAATATATCAAGTTCAAGCACACCAGAGGTCACCTTGTAACTTACACATTTTTTCAGATTTTAAAAGTGTAGACAGGTAGAAAAATACAAAATTTTAACTACTATATTAAGAGAGAAAATATTTCCAGAAAGATCTATAGGGCATAAATTTGATGCAGTGTACAAGTAAAATTCAGAGACAGGGATAACAGAATATACATATACATATATATGAAAGATTTAGCCTTAAATTATAAAATGCCCATGCATAATATAATGCATAAAACGTAAGCCTAACAATAAACAAAAAATATCAATTTCATGCCTATAATACTCACTTCTCAAGTACCACATAAAAATACTTAATGTATTTTAAGTATTATAGCTAATTTCTATCTAATTCATCTTCTCACAAAATATTTACCAATTTCCTACTAGTCTTACTAGGAAATGTCCAAGTGCTTATTTATATCTAAATTTCCTCTCCTAACTGATATTTTATAATATAAACTACTTCAAGAATACTTTCATCAAAACCAAGCTATAAAAACCTCAGACTCACTAAAGGACTTGTGGGTCAACTTGTTTGGTTGTTTTTTATTGTTTTGGAGGGGCGTATGTATTGGACTTGGCTTTGTTTTGTTGTTATAAGTATTGATTTTATGCTTTTTCAGACACGAATGATATAGTAAATTGAATTATAAAGATATATTCTTTTATTTAATCTTCAACCTCCAAAATATATCAATGCTCATATCTGCAAATACAGGTTAGAGTATATTTTCTAGTCAAAAACACAACAGATTATTTTTATATATTTTAAATATCTTCTTACTAGAAAAAAAAAATCTAAAAATTTAAATTGTTTAAAGAACAAGTCCTACAGAAATATTAAATTACATTACAGATATTGATAATTTAGCATATCTTCAAAACCAATATGACCATAATTAACTGCCCAAATAACAAAGAATTCCAATTTTATCCACCCTTCCCCCATAATCCACACAGGTAAGCCAAGGCAAAATAATATACCAGCAGCTACTCAGAAACCATCTTTGGGAGTACTTTACAGAGAATTCCAGTTTATGGCTCTCTGAACGTGGAACAAGCCCTGTTCCAAGACACTGAAGAAATAGTAGTGTTTAAAAAGCATTAATTCCAGCAAGTCTAACAAAAGAATTTATAATTTTGCTGTTTCTTTTGAAAAGTGAAATGTTTCAAATTTCTGACTGGGTTGTAGTTCACAAAATATTAATATAACTCTTGCTACAATTATCAAATCACAGCTTTGATAAAATTTCTGAATATGGTAGTTTAAAACTAAAAAATTATCCAGCTACAAGCTATTAATGTAGCTCTTAATAGCACTCTTTAATGCAAAACAATTTTTAAAAAAATAAGAGAAAATTTTAAACACTTGAAAACTATATTAACAATGAGATCAGCAAACAAATGCCAACCTGACATAAATGTAGCTGTTTCTTCAAAAACTGAACAAACATCTTGGGGGGAAAAGCAGGAACCTTAGATACAGGCAAGGTCCATATCTCAAAACTGGCATTTCAAGAATATAGTTTACGAGGAATTCCTACCATTTGGGACATGAATTGACCTTGAAGGCAAACAAGTCAGAGAAAGACAAATACTGTATGGTCTCACTTAGATATGGTATCTAAAGAACACACAAAACATACTAACAACAACAAAAAACATAAAAAAAAAGAGATCAGACTTGTGGTTACCAGAGAGGAGGATGGGGGAGGGGAACAGGAGGAAGTAGGTAGTTAAAAGGTAACAAACCTCCAGTTACACAATAAGTACGTACTAGGGATGTAATGTACAACATGATGACGACAGCTACCCGCTGTATGATACACAGAAAGTGAGAGCAACCTAGAGTTCTCATCACGAGAAATATTTCCTTATTTTCTTTTTCTTTTTGTATATCTATATGAGAAGATGAGATGTTACCCAAACCTGTTATGGTAATCATCTCACAATATATATAAACCCAACCAGCACGCTATATGCTTTAAACCTATACAGTGATGTATGTCAATTATTTCTCAATAAAATTTGAAAAAATGATTATTATAGTTTTACGTTAGAGCTTTATATTACTTTTAAGCCATTTTAAAGTTACAAACCTTAGACAAAGCCTTTTATTTGTCTGTGGTCTATTTTTCAAATGTATAATCATAATGAATTAAAAGTACGGTGTACCTTATGCCCAAACAAGTATTTAAAAGGCTTATATTCAATCTAAGTTCCATAGGTAGGAATGGTCATTTACATACTTCATTCCTCAAAATTCTTGTCACTTGTCACATAGAAAAACCTTAACACGATAAATTCAAACTATAAATGTAAGCTTTGTGAATGTTACAAATTGTACCCAATAGCTAAATTTCTTCAAATACAACGTAACAGAAGGATTATGGCGTGGAAGTCTAGAGATTAGTACATTAATAAACTGAGGTCTTTAAAATAATGTTTCAGTATTGATGCTTCATTTAGATACAAAAATACTTGGTTACACAAGTGTACCCTGGGACTCTGAAAAACATAACAAAAATAAGTTTTAGATACAATAATCCCTCTGGGTAGATACTAGAAACTGCTGACATTTAAGAAATGTACAAAACTGCACAAATATAAATAAGCTTATAGACTGCTGGTAGTTAGGATGAAGGCAAATACTATACAGTCCACATCTGCAACCCACTTTTGCTTCAGCATCCCCAGAGACTTAGAAAACATTTCTTTGGGTAGGTTGCAAAACATTGCTTCCTCTTTTATTCTCATCACCCCCATTATGATACAAAGCAACAGACAACAAAATCAAATCGGCAATTGTAAGGGGCTGAAAGCTTAAAAATCCGTATTCATTCCACCTGTTTGTAAATCCACACGAACACAATAACACAAACCCGCTGCTGATGGCGGGGGGGGGGGGGGGGGTGCGGGTGCAATTAATGGTTTGGAGTCGTTATTCTTCTTACCTAAACGTGAGGCGGGGGAGGAGGATGATACAAAACAATGGATGCTGAGGGGCTGGGGGGCTGGGGGGTTCGTTTTGTCCCGAAACCTCTAGTGTT